GTTGCTTTAATAAAGGCAATAACAAAACCACTTGAACAATTAACAAAATTATCATTTCCAGCTTACAAGCATAGCTGCCACACAAAAAGACAACTTGTACAGTATGCAGAATTCAATATGTTTCATACTGTTTTATTAGCACACATTAAAAATCTCCATGATCTCCTTGTTATGCATATAGGCATATCAATTTCATATGTGAACAGAATTGCTCATTATAGAAACCTATTTTACTTAACGTAAATTTAACTAACTTAAGCTGGAAAAAAGATTTTTGAGAACCATTTCATAGTTGCTACAAAGTCTGTCAGCAGATGGATGGATATAGAGATTAATGTATATCCGTATCCAGTATTAACATAATGTGTGTATGTGTATGTATTCCTTATTGATATGTCAAAGATACATCTCGTGAAAAGAAAATCTGAATATCTCTATTCTTAATATGAAGTAGTATGTTTAAAAAATGTTTCAGAAAAAAAATTATAAGCGAGTCTGAAACCCTTGTTTCAGTGTTCATACTAGAAATCCCTCCCAAACAGTCAAGCAGAATTTAATTCCAAAGTGACTGTCCATACAGGATTGTACATACTGAAAACCTGTAGGAAAAAAGTGTGCTGCATTACTTTCTGTTTGGGGTCTTTTTCATTATTCTAGTCAGACTTGGCTTTCACTAAAACAAGCTAACCTCACATTCACAGCCAGGAGATGGTCTGCTTTATTCAGTACATCCAAAGCACGTTAACCATGAAACTGCATTACTTCGTATACAATCAAAAGCATATCTCACTTTTCAGAGAGTGAGGAAAAATAATTTTGCCATGTTGCACATAATAAGATCACCATTGGGGAAAATATATTTTCTATATGAAGTACTTCCCCACTGATAATGAAATATTGAAATACAGATTGCAGTCTTTGCATTTACATGGCTATGTTTGTTTATTACTTAACATTACAGCTTAACTGACAAACTCTGCTAAAGGGAAATATTGTCTGTAAAATCAGAAATATCAGACTTTCCCTGCAATAACAGGGAAAAGCACTAATAAAAAAACAAGGTACCAATACCACGGTTTGTAGGTTTAACATTCAGGAATATCATTGGTGCCCTACTGGGGTAGGTAATTTGCTCATGGTGGTAGTTGTTTGTGTTAAAGCTTTAGCTAATTTTATTCAGTGTAATTACGATACATGAAATTGTTTATTTTTGCAGGAACACAACTGCAAAGGCATTCTGTTGATTGTAATTGTTAAAAAGTAAGTCAGAACATTTAGAAAGCTTATATATAGTATATAGTTTTTTCTCAGAAAACGTACTTTGGGGCTGATTGATGATGATTGAATGGACACCCCTTCTCCTCTATTAGTCTGTTTGTTAGGATTTACTGTATCTGAATCAACAGTAAAGTAATTGTCAATACTACAGTATTTTACTTTTTTCTGTGGATTATTACAATGGTGCATTCACCAGGATACAGTACTATCTCTACTTACTCAATCTAATTCCACTTTGAAACTTTTACAGTACCACCTATTAGTGGTTACTGTGTATATTCTTTCTTTATTCCCTTTACATTGACTGTTCTTGGTCTCACAACTATCAAGATGTCAAAACAGCTCTGTCATTCTGTTATTTCATAGAGCGATACAGCTTGTCTACATATACTACTAATCATGTAACCATGTGCCAGGGTAGTTTTAGATAACTCAGTGTTGTGTTTAACCTTTCAAAAGCTAAATACATTATTCTTATTTAGAAGTTCTTTCCATACATTTTTGTATGGAAACTGTAGAAACCTATGCTGTTTCTTTTCAGGAAAAAAAAATCTTTTTGCTAAGGAACGCATTTTATAAATACAAATTGTACTGTGTAATGACATCTTCCTTTGTTCATGTTGTCTGCTCTGTGAGTTGATGCCTACCATATCCTAACTCCTTTCTCTCTCTTCTTGTTCCTGTGTTAAAAAGACTTATGAGATGCATTGATTTTTCCAACTGTTTTTGTGAAAGAGCACAGCTGTATTATGTAGTTACTGCTGCCAAGATCGTGCACAGAGCGGGGGGTCATGTTTTTCCTATTCACAGAGCCAGCGCAGGACAAGAAGAAGAGTTTGGGAGGGGGTGGGGGGTAAGGAATAGGCAAATAATTTTTTTCCCCTCAAGAATAATCATTAACTAGGAGCACACAGGGCATTTGTCACCCACTGGGGGACTGGAAGTCATTCCTTGATGATATTTAATCACTCTCCTGAAACATGAGGAAAGATTTATCCCAGCCACAGGACCATGGAGATAATTCTCACTCGTGCACTCTGTACTTAAGCAGTCTGGTGTAATAGATGTAATCTATGGAAACTTCAAAGGTAGGTTATTTTCCCTTTACTGGGAAAGGGAAGTGTTTGTGATGTAAGCTTCACCCCCTGATGAATCAGGATTTTAGAGAAAATTACCTTTCCTGTAACTCGAGGTGGACTTGGTTAACACCCTCCCCCATAGTTATAATAACTTAAATTAATTTAAAGTTTGCTGTACTTTATTATACAGTGTATTTTAAGATACAAAAATGGTAAGGAAATGAATAGGACATATATTTGGGTGGGGTGGGAGATCTGGGTGTCGGAGACATCACCTTTCTTTATTGAGGAAGGTATTTTCTCTGAAGGTCTGCCTGTCTAGAATTGGTATGTTTTTAATTGGATATCTTCCCTTTCCTGAAGGAATCAAAGTCTTCTGCCAAAGTTTTTGGCATGTGGTGAAATTTTAGAAAACCAAACTTCCATGAAAAAGGGCAAGAACAAGAATACCTTAATATTCAAGCAGATGTTCAACAAAGCAGACTGGGAGTAAAATTAAATAATGTACAAACATGTTATAAATACTTAAACATTGTTTTTACAGTCCTGTTAGAGCTATTTGCTATCATAATAGGGTGAGGTTAATAGGTTTTTTTAAAGCACTAAAAGGATAAATGAGTTAGAGTCTCCCAAAACAAAATTCTGCAAAATACTACTTCTTTGATCTTAATCCTTCAATGGGAATGGCAGTAGTAGAATACAACAATGTGGGACAATTTGTATTCTGATTTATTTTAGTGTAACCTTTATCTGTACCTTAATTTCTCAAAACTAAATTCATACTGACCATTTTCCTCCATCGCCAGCTTCAGAATTGAATGCGGCACTTTATCCTGCCCTTATGATTTGGCAGTGAAGTGAGCGTGGCTATTTAGTCTTACGTAATCTGAACGCGAATTCCGTTGCTTTTCATGATGTGCACTTTCAGCTTTCCAGCAGAGTATTCTCCACCTGCACCCCCCTCACCCCCCCTTGCCCGGATGCCCCTCATGGCCGTTTGCGGGTAGTCTGTAGGTTTAGTGGGGCAGGAACGGGACCGGCCTGCTGATGAGGCGTGGGGGGTGCATGGACAATGGTGCTCAACAGAGTTCTTGTCATCAGAACAGTGCAGCAGTCTGTGCAGCCAAGGGTCCTGCGACAGTTTTCATAATGAGGACTCCGGCGTTTTGTTAAGGTGTTCCTTAAAGAATTTTTCAAGCATTTTTTTAGCGTTTGCCCCCTCCCCCCCAAAACATGAGGTCATTGGTCGAATTTCTTTCACATTTAAACTTTGAATTCACAGAGACGTGGCTGCATTCTTTTCTCTTATTGCATGTTCCCGCTTATTGCAGGTCTTAGAAATGACATACTGTAGGTGAAATTGAAGTTGTTGCTGAAATTCATGGTGTTTTGTGAAATAGACAATTTAAAAAATAAAGCTTGACTTTTTTAGGGGCTATTTTTATTTGAAAGTGGCTATCCTCTCTTATACTGTAAATACAGACTCTTCTTAAAAAACAGCTTTGGCAGTTAAGGTTTGGGCAAACTGTGTTTACAGCAGCTATAGAAAAGTAGTTATCTCCTCTGGTATTTTTCACATTTTTTTCTTACATCATTGAATCAAAATGAATTTATTTGGCAGTTCTTATCACTGATCAACACAAAATACTCTAAGCTAAAAATAATTATAAAACAACTCTAAAGCTTGTTAATTAATTATAAATTAAAGCAGACAAAAGTTGATTACATACTGTAAGTATCCCCCCAATATTAATAATTGGTAGAAGCACCTTAAGCTGCATTAACAGCTGAGTCTATTTAGGTATCTTATTTTTATCCTCGAGGTGCAGAATTAGTATTTTGATCATTTAAAAAACCTGTACAGTAAAAAGAAAAACATGATAAACTATGAAGTAGTGTGCTGGTAAATCATGCCCAAGCAATGGATTAAAACTGCTGCTTAATTGTGAAATGTTCCACATCAAGGTTGGAACACAGAGATATCTAAGACTTGAATCTAATTTTGAACTACAAGTATTAGGTATGCACATGTAGTTACTGCTACTTTCAACTCCTGTTGAGGATGATTGATGTATTGAATAATTTGATGCAATATTGAGGGATTAATTTGCAAGAGTAGCATGTAATGAAAACTCTGTTTTCCTGATGATCCTATGTTCATACAGTATACAACCTTCCAGAAGCTCCAGGATAAATGATTAATAAATGCATACTTATGATAGATATATATTAAGATATATATATATTTTTTTTTAATAACCTCATAAATCACCAACTCTTTAAGCACTTAGTTGAGACAGTGACCAAAGGAAATTTGTGTCTCTATTATCTCTTTAGGACAAGCCAACATTTAAAATAATTCTGTTGTCATTCTGTATTTTAGTTATCTGTTAAACATTCACGTCAACAGTTTGTATTTTTTGTTTAGATATTTCATAGTTAATAAGTTAAGAATAACTCCAGTTAAAGGTTCAGTAAAGAACATCCCAAGTGCACTCAGTACTTTAAATATATACCTTCACCTACAGGTAGACCTTCCTAAATACTTTGTAGGCATGAACATTATTTAATTTCCAAACAGAAGTCCAGATACTGTAGATTGTTTCTGAACTGTTTCTGACCAGTCTTTTTTTCTTTCTTCAGGGGGCACAAGAGACATTGGATCTGCTCTCACAAGGATGTGCATGAGACACAGAAGTATCGAAGCCAAGCTTCGCCAGTTCTCTGCGTAAGTCTGGTGTTACCACGCTAACCATAAATATTGCCAAAACTAGCTGGAAAAAAGTAGTAATTTTATTTGAATAAATTCGCTGGAAAAAAGATTGTAGATTGTTTTTTGAGTGCACTAGGCAATGTACAGTATAACACAATTGTATATAAATACAAAATAAATTATATATTATAAAAAATATAAATTAAATATAATATGATTTAACACAACTAAAATTTTAGTTGGGTGTAACATTAAAAGTGCATGCGCTATACTGTGTGGGAGCTATATAAGGATTCAGATAAGTTTGCTTGTTGAAAATTGTCTGCTGTGGCTATAGATCTGAAAATCAATTGTAAAAGACTGGCTATCACTGCTGCACTTTACAGTAATCATGTTTCTATTTATCCACTTCTGAATTTCACACTTCTAATGGAAGTGATCTTCTGTTGAAGTGCAATGTTTGGTAGATACACAGAGTGATGCTTCTTTGTATGTCGGCTATTATCACTTTTTTGAATAAGAGGATATTGAGTTTGCAATATGCTGTACATAATAATATTGGAACAACAGACAGTCTGTTGGTTTCCATTTCTTGCACAATGAAGAGAAGAGTGTGTTTGCAGGTACACCCTTTCAATACCATTCCTCAGGCCTGCAGTGGGTTGCATTTTTCATTACATAGTGAACTGAGTATTATTACAGTATTTACATTATCTTGACCACACAGACTTGCAATAGGCCTGCTTTCATTAAAAACATTAAAGGGCTGAAATTGTTGGTTCAATGTTTAAGATTTTCATTTTATATGGTAAAGTATTACCAATTTCCCATAGCATGCATTGACTCCTGGCTGTACTTTTTACATATAAAACTTCAGTGGTCTTTTGGAATTGAACTTCAGGCAGCTAATTGTACCACTTCTTGAAATGTATCCTTTTTTTGGCACAAAATAAATGATGGTATTGTTTATGAGCTCAAAGAGTTCAGTGAATGAAGTGGAAAGCATTTTATGCATTATTTCCTAGCTAAACAACTGTTCTGTAAGATAGTTTCAAAGTTGCATTTAATTATTCTTGGGATGTCTGATGGAGATGTGTGAAGATACACAGTGTTTCAAAGCTCTGTAGGTATAGAGTAGAACTAAGCTGTATCTTTAGTCATCTCAGGTTTAGGCTGAGAGATGATTATGCACTTTAAATAATAGTTTTGTTTATCTTTCCATTTACCTATGGGTTGATTACCCTCATCCTAGGTACCTGGATTTATAATAGAAAACTTTGAAGTTTTAATTAATTTTAATTAATCATTAGATATTTCTTGACAGACGCCTTTAGATTGTTAAGAATGTCATGATGTCATTTGAAGGCTGTCAGAGATAACTTCATTATGCAGACACTGAATACATTTTTAGCCTCTGGTCAGCCTTGTACACCGAAGATATTTTTATGTCAGTATTGAAGCACTTTGATGTAACAAATACTAAAAAGAGTTCTGTCTCACTTAATAAACTGATAGCTTGTATGTGAGTGCATAATCCCTAGATTATTTATTTCTCTGGAGTAGGGGCTTTCATAGTCGTTTCCCAGGGTTTGTAGTTCCATATTTCAGGATCATGTTACATCTCCATGCATACCCAGAGCTACGGAGAACCCCTCTGCTCTATCTTGGTGACTCAAATCTTATGTACAGTAGTCCATAGGGGAGTTTGTCACTGGTTCTTTTAAGTAGTTCTTGTAGTCCTTAGTCTCTTTCTAATTTGACATTGAAAGTTCTTGTGGATTTGTCAAGCTGTGCTACACATTGCAGTTTCTGGATTGATGACCAGTGTTGTAATTTTTTGTGTCCTCATAAAATTGGAGCAGCTATATAAAAAGAGGGATACATCTTTCAAAAACACAAGTGTCTCTTTGAAAACAAAACTTTTCTACAAATTCACAGCTTGATGTGTGTCTGTGGCTCGTCATTTGGCCTCTTCTTTCTCTGCTCCATTATCTTGTGTAGTCATACTGTATGAAACATTCTGTATAGCTCTCAACTTCCTGGTTTTAAATGTCACCTGACTAATTGATTTCCATCGATTAGTCAGGAGACTGAAGATGACAGATCTCTCCCCATTGCTTTATGTGAAATATAGCACAGACACAAGTCTCCATCTTATCTGAACCTGCTGTCCTTTCTCAATATATATCACATTACACAGAGAACACGAAGAGATACAGGGTTATGTTATAACTATTGAACTTGTTTGAAATCCATATTATTGTTTATTGATGCTAATTCAGGTGTAAGGTGAAAAAAACAATACCATACAAATATCCTTAAGATGAAAAAAGTACAGGGAGATGCTCTTACTTAGAATGTTAGAGGTAAAGGACCTCTCTTATGTTGGGATATAACATATTGTGCTGCTCAAAATGACTGGACTTACATCTAATTTGTTTCTGTCAGTACGGTGACAGTGTACATCAAGAGATTGTGACCACCCTGTCAAATTCCTAGAAAGTGTGTATTCAGACACAGCCTAATTTTAGCCGTGGTGTCAAACTTCATTCTGCCAGTTGTTGTCCAGGGTGCCGTCCTACACTGAAGTCAGTGGGTATGAGTGCTAGGGTAGACCCCCTCAACCTTCAGATGTCATTAATTAATACCCTCCCACCAGTATTTTTTCTGTATTTATTTCTGGCTCTTCGGGTAGTTCTTCCTAAAATTAAGAAACTAAAATGTTTAGCGTCACTGCTGTGTGGGTGCTGCCACACAGACCCAACGATAAAATCTGGCTTGGTCATCTGTCTGCCAGGTGTTTCAGTTTCCTCATACTGTACCTCGTAAAGAAATGATGGCTAGGTTTTATCGGCGTTTTTAAAATTTTCCCTTTCTCTGTGGCCGCATGATAGTCAGGTGTCCTGTCTAGTTATGTGCTCTCTGCCCCGCCTTGTGCGCTATGCCATCATTTTAGGCTCCAGGCTTGACACAGCAATCACCAGGATAAGTGGTTTACTGATGATAGATGGATGAATGGAAATGAGGCTTTTACATGGTTGAGTTATGCTTGAAGGAACAATTTCTGATCAGGAAACAAAGTATAAAATATGCATGTATCTGACTGCTAATTATGGCGAATTGCCCGAACTTTGGCTTTTAACTAGTAATAGGTGTGAGAAAGCTAACACCTCCCTGATAAATTAAGCCTAATACACTCCCATGACCAGTTGCTAAATTTAAAATAGTAATTTTTCATTTTCCTAAAGGGCTTTCATCGACTGCATGATTAACCCACTTCAGGACCAGATGGAAGAATGGAAGAAGGTGGCCAACATGCTGGATAAGGACCACGCAAAAGGTGGGAGGGTTCTGCTGGCTTGCTGCTTTCTGCTTTCACCACTTTATCTCACATTCCTCTTGTCTCAGCATGTTTACCAGTGGAGTTTAATGCATCACCTCCTGCCTTTTTCTTAACCTTTAAAAAAAGAGCTTTCTTTGCATAGAAACCCTGGCTAATATCCAATGAAAGCTGTCCCTCGCTACCTGTTAGGTGTTGAAGTGCTGAATTAACTCTGCAGTCTTATTTTAGACATATGAAATGCTTCTCGAGTTGTGGAAAAAGAGTGGTTGGTATTATAACTTGGTGCTAGTTTCTTGACTAATCCAACCTTTCTTCTTATGTTAGTTGTAGTGTTTTAAGCATTTGTATATAGTCTGTATTATTCATGTATGTTCATTTCACATTATCTGTTTAACCTTTTTGCTGAACCACATACAGTAGATGCATATCTTAGAAATGGTGTAAGATGAAGATTTGTTGTTTTCCTTATTATACTTCTTACATAAGTTTACATTACTGAATGCCAGGAATTCTTTGAACAAGGTGTCTGTAAAAGGTGCCAAATCTACCACTGGTAAGTGTTTCTAGTTCTAGTTTGAGATCCTAAAATGATGAAAATGAGACAGTTCACACTCATCATTTTTATTTGTTCTACCTCATCCTCTATAGAATACAAGAAAGCACGTCAGGAGATCAAAAAGAAATCCTCAGACACCTTAAAGCTCCAGAAGAAGGCAAAGAAAGGTATTTTTCTCAGATAACCGTTTCCTGGTGGTGTGGGCAGTTTTGCGTCAGCTCTGCGTATCTGGTGTGGTTTGAATCAAAGTGATCTAAATAATTCCTTTCCCTGGAACCTTTCTGTTATGTAACAAGTCTTGTACATGTTTGTTTGATGTGGTTCTTGATCATTTGATTTGAATGCCATTAAATAACATATAGATTGAATAACAGCACAAGAAAATGCTTAAAAGGTTTTTGTGAATATGCCGAACAATTGGTGTGTTTTTGTATTATCTAAAGAGGAGCACCAATCCACTGAACATCTGATGTTTATTGTTTAAGCTTTTATTATTTCCAATTTCTTTAATATTTGAATTTCCACTTACACATCCAGAGACAGAAGTCATAACAAGTTGTCATTTCTAAGGAGGAGCACCCTGAAAAACATCCTTTTGTGGTTTCCATTTTATGACCCCCAGTGTGTCTCTAGTTCATAATTAGAGGCGTTATTATAATAACCTGAATTTCTGCTCCTTTATTGACTGCCTGTGAGTAAAAACAGCAATACCTTGGAAGCTAATTTAAATATAACACACCTTTTTTTGGAGATATTTGATTTGGAGGTGTAGTATTTTGGTGCCTTTGTATCTATTCTCTGTTCTAATTTAGCAACAAAAATGTACATTATATTTCTGAAATTAGAAGAAATTTTCTTTTTATTGTACACAAGGAAGTCCCATCATTTCTGTTGGAAATGCAAGGCACTTTATTTAAGATTCCTCAAAGGTGAATACAATTTTTAATGTATTGAAGAATACAGAAGTCATAAGTATTATCAGATATTTTTCAGTGCTTCAATATAGTAAGAAAGAAATTTGAGACTGTTGTGCTTCTCAATGTTTTGGCATTGATCCAGGTTAAAAACCTGTAAAACAGTATTGTGGGTGTGGGGAAACTAAACTTTTACTAGCAGCTACTTTGAATTTTGTTTCATAATTACTTATACACTCACCTGCACAAAACACAATCCCCACATTTCCCCCTTCTGTTTTCACCCATATTCTACTTTTCCATGTGGTACTTAGAAGTAACTGCCTACAATTATGCCATTAGATTGGATGTTTAAGCAAAGGGGAAAATAATGAATCCTAACATACTTTATAGGTGGATAGATTGCAGTATTTCTTACAGTTCTGGTTTAAGACACACCTTGATTTTATACCCTCATTTTGAGAACAAGAAACCCACAAATAAATTATCATTTAGTATAATGTATGTTACATTAGAGAGCTCATTATACCTCATTTTAAGCTAGCACAGATGTATTTCTAAAACATGCTTTGATATAAATGATAGAATTTTCATTAATCTTATAATAAATCTTATTCTGTGGTGCTTAACATTAGTATTGTACAATCATCCTAATTATTTGAAAATCATAGAATTGTAATTCTATGTTTATTGTTATAAACAGTTTAGAAGAATGAAAGTAATTTTCAATCTTGCCATACTTTATTTACAGTACATAAGTACATGAGATTTTTTAGATGTCCATACATGAGCCAAAAATGCTAAACTAAATTAGTGTGGCAGGAAAGTGACTGAAATATTTTCCTCTCTGTGCCAATGTCCATCCTGTTATTCCCTTATGCGCCTCTTCTTGCAAGCTGAAGCTCAGGGTAAGTAAAAGATCCCTGCTCCCTGTTGGAGCCCCAGTGTACTTTGTTGTACTTTGTAGTCTGTGTATTCCACTGTTTTCCAGTTAGATTTTATTTGCCTCTCTTCTCAGTCCAGTGGCTCCTAAGCTAACAACAATCAATAATGATGTAGAAAATGCCAATTTTCAATGTCTTGCTCCAGATTTGAAATATTTTTTTAAAATAATACCTTTGTAACATTCACTTGTAAAGCTTTTCTCGGATGTGTTCATAACCCCTCATGCTTTAATTTGTTAATTTTCATAATGAAATAAGATATATAAGCCATATGTCACTACAAATATGTAACCTTCAAAATGTACTCTATTAAATACTCCCTTAAAAGCTACCACTGTGGTTTTATTGTAGTAATAGGGAATTTTTTATTTGTGTTTGTCTTCTAGCTGTTCATCATTCAAAGAGGCAAATGAGAATAGTGTTCAGCCCGTAGCTTTTTTGTCTGCCCTGAAGATGATAAAAAACTTGGCCCATTCTTTTTGTTGACTTTGTATGGACGGGTGCATATTTAAATCTAACTACACTTACAAAACTTTCGTGAGAAGCCTAAATGGTTTTGCAAGCATGTGACATCACTGTTCCTTGTGGACACTGCAAAGGAAAGCACTGTCTTGTCTGCATGACAAAGTGTCGTTCTCTTATCACAAGAGATGGGATTGGAGCATTAGAGGAAAGTAATTGTCTTATAAGTGAGAAACAGAGTTTCAGTAAAAAGTCAGCAGAACCAAGACTGGACAGCTAGCAGTAGCACTTGGAAAACCCTGGGTCCTGAGGGAGTCCATCTCACACTCTAGTCAAGAAAGATTTCTGACAGTGGTGGCATAAATTCTTTTCAGGAAGACAAAGCCTCCTGATGACCATCTGTTGTTTTCTTTTCACTGGAAAGAAAAATGTTACATCAATCTCTGATGCAATAGGAAGTGAATTATGGTAGGATGAACAAGCTTGTGTAAATGAGAATGAGCTTTTTGGCTTTCATCCACTAGACATTAAGACATAAGCTAAATCTTGAACTGTACAAGCAGAGAGAGCTACTGATTAAACCCAAAGTATGTGGGTTTCTTATAACAGGACACATATAATAAAACTGGCTGTTAATATTCTATGCTTTCTCAAGCAGAACTTGTGGTTCATTTGATGCTCAGAAACATAAATTTATGCACTGGACTTCACCTTGTTAAACTCCTTTGTGCTGAACTGCAATTGTTGTGCATATTTAGAGAGGACCTCTCTTCATATTCTTAAATGTCCACAGTGCTTTGACAGATCACACAATGTGTGATCACATTGTGTGGGATGTTCAGTCTACTCCCACACAAATTGTTAAAACCCATGAGCCTATGTCTCTGTATACTGCAGCAATGTTTGAATTCAGCTGAATATTTGGCTGTGCATACACAGCAACTGTGAAGCTGGTGAAATAAAATTGCTGTCAAGCAAGAACACACTAGAATAATCATGTAAAATAAATCCTGTTAAAAGCAATTCAGATTTTCAGTCATTATGACATTGCAGTCCAGTAAGTCTTTGAAGTATTTGTGACATGAAGAAAATTTCAGATTTGTTGTAAACAGTGGGATAGTCATCTTTCTAAAATTATAAGCACTGTATTTTGGGGAAAAAATGGTACAGTGCACTGTAGCACTATGAGGAATTACTGATAAGACAGCGTCTTTAGAGCAGTGCAGGTGATAGCTCCTTGAAAATCTCTATTAACCACGACAAAAGTGTTTTTATAATCAAGCATAACATAATTGCCACCATAAAAGAATCAAATAATGCACAGCCTCAAGGGCTGCTTTTAAGTGAATAGCATCCACTCTTAAAAATCTTAAATTTAAAAGCACCATCCTCATAAACAGTTACTATATTTAAAATGTATTTACTTTAGCTTCTTAGATTGAAAACTGAACTAAATTCTATGTGATCATGAGTAATTGGGTAAATGTGCAAAATGTCAACCTGTTCTCCTAAAATAGTGCCTGAATTCCAAATGCTAACTTCTGTGGTTTATAAATAAAAAGCCCTTGCTGTTTTTACTTAACAGAGTCAACCTTCTCTTCAGAAGACAAGTCTTATGTGAAGTTAAACAAGTACACAAACAAGCTGTGGAACATGAGTTTTGCAAAAGTGTATCAATGACTAAGATTTAAAAAATATAACTTCTTGCAAAAGGGAATAGCATAAAACAGAAACTGAAAAATAACTTTGTGGAAATTCCTGTTTTGTCAAAAGACTTAGCAAGGTCCTGAAGTTACTTAATAATACAGTACAGCATTGTTTTAAGGTAGCTTCAAATACCAGCTTCATTCCATACAGCAAGCATTCAATACCTTATTTTAACTATTCTAAATACTGTTTCACAATAGCCAACTATCTTATTTTTTCCATTTGCTACCTAGCACATACTTTGGAACAAAAGCTGCAGACGTGAATCATAATGTAGACAGTACCTCAGTTCATAGTGCAAGATTTTGCATTCCAGATGTAAAATAAATTACTGGATAATGTAATGTGTGTGTGTTTGCAAATAAACTTTATTGACAAAAAAGAAAAGCTAGTTCTGAACTATGGAATGAGTTGAATGTTAGCATTTTTAAGTGAAGACAACAGGCAGTTGCACATTCATTGTGTTCATTATACCAATGTGTACAAGAACATGTTTTGTGAAAGATGCAGATTAATTGAACTGATCTTGCTGTTGCATTTTTCGTGAACCACCATAATGAAGAATAGATGTTTATTAGAGTGGTATAAAAGACCCTTTGCTGAATTTCACAGAGCAGTGTGAACTTGCGCTTTGTCAAGTAATCAGAAACCTGTTTCACAGTGGGAGTTTTTTCCCCCCCAGTTTTCCTACCCTGGGTGCTGTGTTTTGACTTGTGAAGCTGGTGTCCTTACGCAACTCTCGTTTGCTTTTCCAGGGAGAGGGGATATCCAGCCCCAGCTGGATAGCGCCATGCAAGATGTGAACGACAAGTACCTGCTGTTGGAGGAGACAGAGAAGCAGGCCGTGAGGAAAGCACTCATTGAGGAGCGGGCACGCTTCTGTGCCTTTGTCTCCATGCTCCGTCCCGTCGTGGTGAGCCCACTCCCTCTGTCGTAGTATCAATACATTGGTCCCACACATCAGATTGATACTATTCCACTTACCTATGTAAAGAGGGAATGTTAACATGGGCAAAAAGTGAAACCCGGGAATCATGAGTAAATGCTTAATACTCACATATTCAGTACATCGGAACATGAGAAAGGTTAGAAACAAAAACAGGCCATTCCGCCCATCATCTAGCCCCTTTGGTTGTTAGTATCAATTGATCCAAGCAGCCAATCCTTAAAGGAAGCTCAAGTATCGGCTCCAGTCACGTGGTTTCTTCTATACTCCCACACCCTTGGGGTGAAGAAGTGCCTCTGGTTCTCTCTTTTAAATGCTCCTCCAGGTAGTTTCCACTTGTCATTTGTGTTTCACTTTTAATTTTGAAGAAATTCTCTGGGTTTAATTTATGAACAGCGAAACATGAAACTGTGGACACCTGAGACCTGCGTTCTTTTCTGATGCACAATTGCTATTTAAATTCTGCTTAGAACCCCTGATTTCTCTTTACTTGTATTAATGTTATCATTGTGGTGCTGCTGTGCTGCAGGAGGAGGAGATCTCAATGCTGGGAGAGATTACTCACCTGCAGACCATTTCTGATGACCTGAAGGCGCTGACCATGGACCCCCACAAACTGCCTCCGGCCAGCGAGCAGGTCTGCGCTCACAGTGACCTCAGCACAGCTGGAGGGGTTTGCCTTCTGTTTTATGAGGAGAGGAGGTTCCCAGAATGCAGGCTTTAGCACAGCATAGACCACAGGATGCAGCCTAGATTCAACCACAGCTGGCCCAGTTACAGCAGAACTTTGTGCGTGCCTTTCCCTTCAGAGACGCATCTAAAACAAAACCTCTTTATACAACCAGTCTGTACATTATGTGAAAGAAGCCATGAAAAATGGTGGAAATATCGTCTTTGTGTGGCAGCATCACTCTGCAGGGCAGGAGGGGCCTGCACAGCGTTATCAGAACAAAGGTGCAGCCAGGAAGACGTAGTGGGGGCTGCGTTAATCAGTGTGACGAGACTTTAGTGTGAAGCAGCAGGGTTTAGTGCACCTCACTGCACATAGTCGCCCCCTCGGCACTAAACTCGGACAGGGTCAGATTAAGATTTGTCTTTTAGATGTAGTTTATCCCACCAGTAAATCTGCAAAAGATATAAACCTGACTCTATTTCAGTGTAATGAAGGCCAAATCTTCAGTCATCCTTATATAATTATTTAATTATTTATAATAATAATTGATTACACTTATATAGCACTTTTCTGGACACCCCACTCAAAGCGCTTTATAGGTAATGGGGACTCCCCTCCACCACCACCAATGTGCAGCCCCACCTGGATGATGCAACGGCAGCTACAGTGCGCCAGAACGCTCCCCACACATCAGCTGTCAGTGGGGAGGAGAGCAGAGTAAATGAAGCCAATTCATATTATTGGGGATTATTAGGAGGCCATGATTGGTAAGGGCCAATGGTAATTTTGGCCAGGACACCAGGGTTACACCTCTGCTCTTTTCGAGAAACGCCCTGGAATTTTTAATGACCACAGAGAGTCAGGATCTTGGTTTTATGTCTCATCCAAGGGACGACGCCTGTTTACAGTATAGTGTCCCCATCAGTATACTGGGGCATTAGGACCACATGGACCACAGGGTGAGCGCCCTGTTAGATAATTAGATAATAATAGAAGGTTTCCTTCCTTTTGCATTAAACTTTAGCACAACTTGAAGTTCATTGGGAAAGGCCATGTCTGTTCACATTCAGTGCCTGTATAAATGTTCATAGGCAGTCTTTAGTTGGAATTTTGAAGAAGCATTTTTTTTTTAATTTATGCAGGTTATTATTGATCTAAAAGGTTCTGACTACAAGTGGTCCTATCAAACACCACCGTCCTCTCCAAGTACCACGATGTCCAGGAAGTCCAGCGTGTGCAGGTAGGTATCAGCTCTGGCCTGTGTATTTGAAGAGTAGGGCTCCACTGCAAACAGCAGACAGAGCAGGAGAAGCCCCTAGTCAGCTTGAGACTTTCAGGTCTACCCTGGGATCACATCTAATCAAAACCGTAATCTTTTTATCTTATCCTATAAAGAATTTTCTCTTTTACAGAGCACTAGCCCAGATATAACATTATTGAGTAACAGATTATATATAGTATTTCTCTTAAGCACCTTGGCTTTTAATGGTTTGCAATATAATTCAAAGCATTTTTACAAAGTGAAGCACCCAACCCTTTTCAGCCAAAAGAATGAATTGGAGCTGGATTGGTAGAACTGATTTAATAATTTTGTCTCCACCTGATACACAGTGACACATGTAAGACGTACCAGAGATTGTCAGTCTCTAAAATACACACACCACTGTCTTCAGGAAAAAGTCCGCCTGTTGGGTTCCATTCTAAGTCTTGCATTCAGTACTTATTTAAAGAATCCTAGTTGTGCAGAGTTTCATAATCTTTAATTAAGTATGCATCCATTTAGGAATAATTGTCAGATAATGAGAGTGTGAGAGTAATGTATGTCTCACATTCATAATTTCATTTAATGTTAGGTCCTTTATTGTCAGTCTCACTGCGCCACATTGTGGTAAAAAAGAAAATGAATATGTTAAAAATATTAAAGAAGTTTACACACATTTACAGCTTCTTAATTTATGGCATGCAGAAATTATTAAAATTCCCTCCAAGCGATAATTTTACATAATCTGTGTCTACAACATATACATAATAGATAAAGATTGTGAAAAAAATACACCTTAAAAGTACTTCATTAGTCAGTGTACTCATAATGATAAGAAATACAGCACCTTATAGAAGTATTCACCACTTTCCCATTTTGTTAAATTACAAATGAGAATACACATAGCTAAGTATTTTGTGGACATTTTTAGTTGAACACTGTTGAAAAATGTGTTTTTAAGTGTGTTTAAAACACTGTGTTTGTAAGTCAAATGTAAGTCATGATACTTTTGATGGGTGTCAGCCAAATTAATTATCAACAGGTGGTTTGAAGGCAGTTACAGTATAATAGTCATTTAAAATAAAGTATGACCATTGTTCGAACTGCAAAGTGTTTTACAAACTTTTGCTATACAGCATTGTGAATTTGTATAGTTTTTGTGGTTTTACATCTACAGCATTGGGGTTTTTCTGAAGTCCAATTCAGTATGTTACAGTTCAGTGTTTTTTTTTATTTAGGAACAGTAAGAATTGTCTTATTAATTGAAATACAAAATACAGAACCATACTTCTCTTTGAAGTCTTTCAGCCCTTTGTCTTTGGTGTCTTGTGTCACATTGTCTCAACGGAACCATTTTCAGTCTGTAAAACAGTTCATGTAATGTGGAGCTGTGCTTGCTTTGCTGTATTGTGTGAATTTGTTCTATAGCTCTTTGTTCCTTGTTCAAGGGCTCTTTGAAGCTGATTGTGATGTTCTTTTTCATTGCACTTAAATTTGGAAAAGCACATTTTACAGTGCACTAATTCTTTGATTTGTAACAGGCATGACAGATGTGTTCATTTTGAATGTTCTTTATTTTGAATATATTTATTTGGCTTGATTTTTTGCGTGCAGATTTCCCCATTCTTTAGTGCTTTATCCCTTTTGGCAAACTTGATAAGTAAGTAGGGTTCTAAGATTAAGCCAATATGTCTACTCCAAGCTGACAAAATGGCTCACTAGTATAGATAAAAAGAAAAATGTATGTAAATTGTAGGTTTACTCCTTATACTTGTAATCATAAAGTAGATATTAAAATCAGCTTCTCAGCAGTAAGAAATAGCATTTATGTAATATAAAGTAGCTGCAAGTGTGACGCACAAGGCTGTGTCAGACATTTTTCAATAAGGTGGAGGAAAGAAGCTTTGAAAGCATTTTTAAATTGTCGCTGAGCGCTAACCTGTTGTTTTTGAATTATACAGTTAACTTCTGCAATCACCACTGAGTGCACTAGCTCTGTTTCCTATATTACTACTGTAAATTGTTATCTGGCAGATATTTATTTTAATGGCTACTGGTGAAGCAGTTTTTGTTTTCTTTAGGTTTTAATTTTATCACTCTCCTCAATGAAGCACTAAGCACAGTGCAGACTATGTGAGCTTTCACACAAAGTCAAAATCGTCACTTTGTGACAAAACAATGGAAAACAGTGTAACATTTCAGTTGGGGGAAAAAAATGTCATGTAAGGAGTTTTAACTTTCGAGAAGCTTTAGTTCAGAAAACAGGAAGGGTGAAGCCACTCTCCCTCCTTACCAGGGCATGGACAGGTATAATATGAAAAGTCATGAGGACCAGTATTGTTGGATATTTAAACTTAAAAATGAGCAGATCTTTAAATAATTTTGAATATACTCTATTGATACAGGTTACCAAAGGGATATTGCAGTACGTTGTAATCATTATTTATTGCCTGTTGTTATTGTTTCATTTTTAAGTGGACTGCTTACATTGCCTGCTGCACTTGATTTTTTTGTGGAGTGTTAATTGTTCCTGGTCTTTCCTCCTACCTCACCCTCACCCCTGTCCTCACTCGTCCCCCCCTTCCCCTCTGCCTGCCCCCCTTCCCTTGTCTCTGGCAGCAGTCTGAACAGCGTTAACAGTAGCGACTCCAGGTCGAGCGGGTCGCACTCTCACTCACCCACTTCACACTATCGCTACCGCAGCTCCACACTCCCCCAGCAGGCCCCCGTCCGGCTCTCCAGCGTGTCGTCCCACGACTCGGGCTTCATCTCTCAGGACGCCTTCCAGTCCAAATCGCCCTCCCCCATGCCCCCAGAGAACATCCCGCAGGTAAGGACCTGGCTGCACCCAGGGGAGGTCGAGGGGCAAGGGTACGGCCGAACACTGGCAGACCTACTGTACAGTCATACATGTAGTGCAGATCAAGCATCACATGAAAGATCTATACAAATAAACCGCTAAGGATGTCAAAAGCAGGTCATATACTGTATGTTTAAAGCTCTCTAAATATTTGAGTATGAGTACGTCATATTAAAAGACATTTTAATTAAAAAGCAGAGGCTACAGCAAGCATATGTATGGTATACATTTTTACTACTGTTTTTTATGACCCAAGTCTTTTGATAGAGGTTTTGTGTAAAGTAATTCCTGTGACTTCTTAATGAACAAGAATCTTAGTCCTATTCTTCACTGAAATCACTTATATACTGAACAACTCATAACTGCAACAAATTCTCAAAGTTGTATACGGAGTACTACAGTTTTTTTTTGTAGTGGATGCACTGACATTTTATTGAACATTCATGACATAGTTTAATTTGTAAAGATAATTAAATATTTGTAATCAACAGCTGACAGTTGACTATCAGGATTTCTACTGTGAAATAAACAGATGAGTAGTATAGACTAGAAATTATGCAGGCTGCATATGTGTGACAAGCTTTGTCTTGTGGGAGTTGGTTCAATTTTTCTTGTAAAGCCTGGGCAAACATCTGTCCTTTTACTGGTCTTTGAGCCCTAGATGTCACATATCATCCCACAGATGTTTAACAGGAATCACATCTGATGAAAAGGATGTGCACAGTATTAATGTCAAATTTTAAGTACCGAGAAAGCCATTGCGATGTGGGCAATAGGAATGTTCATTGTCCTGCTGCAGTGTTGTCACATCAGGATGAACCCACAAGGAGGGCAGAAAGTGAGGTCTCAGGACTTGATTATTGTAGCGTCTTTCAGTGAAGTTAATCACTACAATTGGAATTTTGTTAACAGACACTCTATAGGATAAATGACTTCATCACCAGTGCCCTATGAGCTCTCTGACAAGATTTAGTTTTTACACAAAATTCAGTCAAATGCATCACAGTCAGTTGAAAATAATCAGTCAATTCACAATAATGCAGTAAACATTAAATAAATATCCAAAGTCTGTAGACGTAACAGTGATATGTTTCTTTGGGTTTGCATTATGTATTTTTGATAGAAGCCTGCTTTGGTTTTTAGATTTTTAAAATTTTAAAAAGATAGAACTGTTTACTTTCTGTTTACAACAAAGTATGTCAGTTTAAATACTGTACTCAGGTGACATTAGCTTTATGTTAAGGCTCCGTCCTAAGTTACCCTTCCATGTCCAAATGCAGTGTTTTTATCATAGTAGGTGGCACACATCTCTACATTTAGTGAGTAAATGACCTAGAAAAGATGTTCTCGGGAAGAGAATAAGCTCTATAGAGAAAGTGGAAGTATTAAAGAGTATAGAGTTAAACTGTTCTGTTTAACACAGGAACCAGTCATCTTTGCAAAGGAAAATGACAATTTGAATATACAGTAATGCAGGAATGTTAATGGAAGAGTTAACTTCTTCTTCTTGATGGTACAATTACTGTTTAGTATAAGGTTTCAGATAGTTTTTGTATTTCTTAGTCCTCAGTAAGGATAGAACTATAAATTGCTGTTATTTGATGGGCCAGAGAAAAGACTTGAGATATAATTGATCGGTGCTTATGTGTCGTCAGGATGCTTTAGAACAATTAATTGTTTTCATTTATGTTCAATTTTACTTTTCCTTAAGGAGCAAACAGCCTTAATTCAGACTTAAGTTTAATGAGCCTGTACAAGTAAATATTTGCATGTATCTTATTTGTGGCAATGCCAGTGTCCAGCGTAGTGTCAGAGGTTCAGATTGGTGTTAATATTTGGCATAGCTATTCATTTTGCATTTAGAATTCACAAAACAAACAGAAAAATAATACTAACATCCAAGATATATCTTAATGTACTCCTTGGGCAGCATTTTTAACACTTGTAACAATCACCATTAACCGAACACCCCTGAATGTATTTTTTGTTTTGAGTATAGTCCTATTAGTAAAAAGGTATAACTCTAGGTCTGTGTTTGAAACCAGGCTTTGCAGCTTTCTTTTGAACATCAGGATTGGATTTGACTTGAAATGGGCTTTTAGGTTGTTTCGGCTTTTTGTCCGATACCTAATCTCTAACCTCTTGCTACTTTGTGCTTTTTTCTCCTGCCGTGTTGTTTATGTGAAAACTCTCCCTTATGTTATTTCAACTTCCTGCTTAATATGTACTCCCTAAACCAATGTGCCCTTTCTCTGCTTTTGTGCTGATGCTCTCTTTGCTGTCTCCTCTCTCTCTCTGTGCGTTCTGTGCACCCACCCCTAACTCGCTGCGCGTTGCCCTCCTCGCTTGCCCTGTGGGGTTTGTGTACGCGTGCCCTGCAGACCTCCTCCAGCTCGGCCTCCTCCGACGCCTCTGAGACCTGCCAGTCCATGAGCGAGTGCAGCTCTCCAACTTCCGTCAGCTCCGGCTCCACGATGGGCGGGGCCTGGGCTTCGGCCGAAAAGGTGAACTTCCCACCCTGGCGGGTAGCAGCCAGCGTTCTCCGCCATTTTCCAGTCTGGAACATTCCGTCTCGGCGAGGCGCCGTCTGGCCTTCCTTGCTTTGCAGCTCTTTACGCCTTTCTCAGTTTTCCGCATTGTACCTCGCTCCAAGCGTCAGATTAACTCGCTGAAATTGGTTATGCTGCGTGCGGCGTTCTATGTGAACCCATCCCTTGTGGGGAAACAGTTACATATGTTGTGGACACTTGTCTTGCGTATTTCTGTTTTTTGTTTTAAAACGTCTCATTAGAGCTCATCAGCGCTTTCGGAAACTCAAAACCACACATGGTGACACTGTGTTACAACTCACACCTCCACCAGGGCATAAATCACAGCATTATTACAATGTTTTGTAAAGACAGTCCAGTCAGTAATGCTCATGCTGTACAACAAACAAGTGGTTTAGTTTTTGGTTCCCATCATACCATGGTTCTTTAGAATTTGGCTTTAATTAAGAAGTTCAACATTTGGGTTGTTTGTTAGAAACACTTTTTAAAATCATTTTCCTTATGTTGTGAATTTGTTTTTGAGTTGCTTCCCTTAGTTTATTGTAACTTTGATTTGGAATCCTCTCATTGCCATCCTGTGGTTGTGTTTATTTTAATTTCCTCATTGTTGTGTGTTCTGTTGTTTTTGTCCTCTACATCTGTGTAGTTGTCAGAGGGGTACGATCACTACAGCCTGTGCACTGATCCACCCTTCCTGGCTGCCACTGGCTCTGCGGGCCAGTTCCCCTTTCTCCCCCCATCCTCTTCCCGGTCTGGGACACGGCCAGGCTGGGCCCTGCTCCCTGATTACCCCCATTATTGCACTCTGGGCCCCGGCATGCTCCTTTCATCCAAGATCCCCAGCTGGAAGGTTTGTTCATTGATTCCTCATCTCTTTTTTTCGGACTATCATCTGCTGCAAGCTTCCCTTTCCACTGTTTTTTTATTGATCCACCATGAGCTTTCCACTCTTTTTAAACATTTTTTTAAAGGCCATTTACTCTATGGCCTTCCTCTTATATCAGTCCTTCCACTTAATTTCATGTTTCACATCCTATTTGACCTCTTTTTTTTCCCAAAACGATTTGCCATTTTGACTAATCTGCTGTTCAATTTTTTTTCTGAATAATAATTGTGGGAAAATAATGTTGGGAACACATACAAGTGAGGAACTGTTGTTTGGTTCTCTCATGGAGTTAATATATCATTGTCTTCCCTCACATTTTGAAAAGCTGTAATATATTTGTAACTGGAAACTAGAAATCAAGTGGGAACAACAGGACTGCACAGAGCATGTTGAAGTAGAAAAAGTAAAGCAAAACAAAATTATTTCTAATGGGTTTAATGGGTCTAATGGGTTACTGTGGAACACACTGATCAGGCTGGGTTATAGAGCAGGAAATTTAAATTACTTGAGGGGTAGCAAGAACACTCAGTGGGAAGTGTTCACATTTTATTATAGTGGCTTGCACAAAACACTAACCTTACTCACCCTTTTCTTGACTTTCCATATGTGATCTCCGTTTCTGTCTTCCAGGCTCACTGCAAAGCTGCAATTAAGAAGATATGTTTGACAATATTTTCACTAATTATAATTAAACACAAGCTGACCTGACCTCCATTACATGTTGAATATTTACTGCTTTTTTCTCTATTTCTATTCTCTATTTAATTTCTGGGGGATTGCCAGTTATTCCGAATGTTTTCTAAAGTATCAGAAAAGCCTTTTCTGCACCCAGATCTATTCCAAACATTTATTGTTTCTGTTCTGTATCAGAAGTAGAAACAATTGAAATATAGGCAAATGTATTGCAAGCGCCACTCCTTTTCCATATAAAACCATAAAATTCTGTATTTTGTAAAAAGGAAAAGTTCTGCCTCTGTATTACCATTTACTCAGTGTATGTAAGCAAACAAGAAGAATTATAATTCAGAAGCTTAATCAGCACTCTGACCTAGTTTTCATCAGTGTATTGTACCATACTCATTGTTTTCAGTTATATAGCTAATAAAGTGACATTTCTAAGCAAAAAAGACCTGGCAAACAAATAGAGGTTTTTAATATCGCTCTTGATGGTGGTGGATTTTGGTGTTCATAGTTGTAGCATTTTAGAAGTTTATGTTTAATAATCTAAAATGGAGCTGAAATTGATGCAAACGCACGCAAGATGGTGGTGATTTCTTCAGATCACAATCTAAAAAAACTAATTGATTTCAGGTCTCTTTACTCTGTAAATTAAGTCCATATTTAACAACAGATAAAAATGTGGTTTGTGGATGCTTATTTGATGATTCTTATTTTTACCTGTGGTCCACTATGCAGGACTGGGCGAAACCAGGGCCCTATGATCAGCCCATGGTGAACACCTTACAGAGACGCAAAGAGAAGCGTGAAGCAGCTGATGCTGGTGCCCCAGCTGCACACACAGGTGGGCAGACAACTCCTGTGGATGATTCCCAGAGACCCAGGAGTATGGCTGTGTCTACCAAGGTGAGCACAATACCAGAATTAAAGAGAAAACCTGTAGCCCAATACTGAAATACCTAACTGGCAAATTCCTACATGTTGGTGGATTCCACTGGGGAATTGTAGCTCAAGGAAGTTCTAATATCTTTTACTATTTCCCACTTTCTGATGTGTGGTAGAAAGCTGACGCTTTTATATTAAAGAGCACAGAGTCATAGGATCTATACCTCAGTCCATTTTCTAAGTGCTTTATCCAGTACAGGGTCAATCCTGACAAGCAAAGAGCACAAGGCAAAATACAGCCTGGACCAGTCCAATCGCAGGACACAAACAACTATACACATGCTGGATCTGTACATCATCTTCGTCTGTTCACCTGCACCATTGACAATGACAATGACTTTTGGTTGGCCTCATCATTTCAACCAACCAAAACCTGTTCAGCTCTGGGAGTGTGCTACCATGTTTGTGTGTCAACAGGGCGAGGAGATGGAGGCTCATGAGGAACTGGCTCTGGTTCTGACCCGTGGGCTTCAGTTGGATACCCAGCGCTCGAGCCGGGACTCCCTGCAGTGCTCCAGTGGCTATAGCACCCAGACCACCACACCCTGCTGCTCTGAGGACACTATCCCTTCACAAGGTACAGGCATGACTTGCGCTCCCTGTCACATCTGCTTTAAAAGGTCAACATGGATATGCCATTATCACTTATTCAATGATCCAAACATCCATTTTCTAACAGCTTCATCCAGTTCAGGGTTGCAGGGAAGCCAGAGCCTATCTTGGCAAACAATGGGTACAAGGCAGAATACATCCAGGGACACCAGTCCATCACAGGGCAAACACAGATACAAATATCCACACACTCACACCAGAGCCAGTTGGCCACCAGCATGTCTTTGGACTGTGGGAGGAGACTGGAGCACCCAGCAGAAATGCACGCGAACACATGCGAGAACATACAAACTCTACACAGATAGCTCCCCAGGTCCAGAATTAAACCCAGGGCCCCAGCACTGCGAGGCAGCAAAGCTAACCACTGCACCACCAAGCCAACCCATGACCTTTAAATGATTTTAAAAAAAATTGACACTTAATCTTCAGGTGCTTTCTAGTAATGTTCCCAGTTTTACCCAAAGAATGTTGCTTTACGTCTGAGATCTTTATTTTCTAGATGATTTACAAATGGTACAATCTCTTAACAGTATTAGATCCTTTCTCAGTGAAATTACTTGTTGTATTTTATACATATAAATAGGAAAAGTACTCTAGAGATGCTTCTTTTTTTTCTATATTGAAATCCTTCCTCTCACTCTCCAATAAAGTGCAATTGGTGTGCAAATGTTTTTAACAGATGGTAACCACTACCCAGATCAACTGGAAATATTAGAAAAACAGCCAGATCACAGCTAAAAGTCCTATTTCATCTTTCTTTCACCTTTTTTTCCTCGCTTCAGTGTCAGATTATGACTACTTCTCAGTCAGTGAGGACCAGGAGGTAGAGCAGCAGGATTTCGACAAGTCCTCCACCATCCCGCGCAACAGCGACATTAGCCAGTCCTACCGCAAGATGTTCCAGGCCAAGCGGCCCGCCTCCACTGCTGGCATCCCCTCCAACGCAGGACCAGTCATGGTCACCCCAGGAGTGGCCACCATCCGCCGGACCCCCTCTACTAAGCCCTCAGTGCGCCGCGCCACAGTAGGCGCCGGCCCCATCCCCATCAAGACTCCCGTGATTCCAGTGAAGACGCCCACCGTGCCCGACGTGCCAGGGGGGTTTCCCAGCAGCCTCGGGGTTAGCAGTGGGGAGGGCATAGAGCAAGTGACCACCCCAGAGTCCCCCATGGCACCAGTGGTGGTGGAGGGCGAGCCGGGGGGAGGCGTGGTGGTTTCGTCCTGGAGTGGCAAGGCATCCATTAACCCCCCCGTCCCTCCCCCACAGCCCAGCAGTGGCGTCGAGTTCAACAGCGGCATCAAGCAGGCCACGCCAGGGGAAGAGACCCTGTCTGAAGACAGCGCCCAGGACACAGCCTTGCCCGACGTTCAGGGTGACAACATGCTCCTTGCCATCCGGCGTGGGGTCAAACTGAAAAAGACGACAACCAACGACCGCTCTGCGCCCCGCATTGCGTAAATGAACATTCCCCGCGCCACCGATTGAATATTATACTGCTTTCCAACAGGGCCAGCTGAGGCTGTGTCCATTCCAGTAATCATCTGAAAAAAATCTGTTTTTTGAAGATTAGGTGTTGCAGATTGGGGAGAAGGGAAGGCAAGATACTGAATATTTTAGAAATGTTAAAAACAGGCATCCATTTTTGTTCTTTTAATTTTGTATATAAGTTTTTTCATCTTTAGCAATCATTTATGTTGATCCCTTCTTCTCTTGCTCCTTTTCCTGATGAACCTGAAGGTGCCAAATTCTTCTTGAAAGTGTTGAAATGACTGAGTTTAATTTAATTTCAACAGATGGAATTTATTGTGAATTTTTACAGTATATTGTAAAAGATCTGAGACTACAGCCTACATGGCGGGGTGTGAACTATGATTTTTTTTTAATGATTGTACTTGAGTAGTAAGCAATCTTTTTTAAAGTTTTAGAAGGGTACTCTTTTTGAGAAGTGATGCACGTAACCAGCTAACAGTAAGCAATACTCTGCAGGTGAAACCTGGCTTTGATGCTGTATATTTTGAAAAATGTGTCATGGCAAAACAGGATGCTGTTAAGAAAATAAAAATTTGAAATTATGACAGACCTGGAAGGAAAGACATTAGCCAATGGCTTGTCTGTAAACAGTTTCCTTTTCTGTTTTAAATCTGATGCCAGATTATGGCATTTAATTTTTGTAGCCTATACAGAGTTTTGTGTTACGTTTGTTGGTTTTCTCTTCACTCTGTACACTAAACAATGGATCATATTGCATGCGGCCTTAATTCCGTAAGCTGAGGATAATGTATGATCAGGCTGAATATCATATCACATCTCTTTATTCTTCTGAGGAAACCGTATACTTTGTAGAAACTAAAGCATTTTGAAATGATACACATATATATATAGAAGTAATGATAAAAATATTTTTTGGTATTTTGTAAGACCCAGGTTTGGTATAATTTCGGCATAAGCACTGAAATCACTGTTGGAAGGAGCAGTAGCCGTGAAACTCATAAATTCATGTCAAATTGTAAATATAACTAGAAATGGAAATCCAGGGGCTTTATTTATTGTTTTTACATTTATTTTTGTATTCTTCTAAACTGAAACATATTGGCTCATAAATTTGCCTTAAATTAGTTTTAATGCTAGATATATACTATTTGTACAGTATTGTTGAGGTATATCACAGGTGACAGAAAAGCATACCCAGACCCTGTGATTCTCTCTTCACTTCTTGTATTTATCAGTATAAACCCCCTTTTCCCTGTGACTGCACAGTTTGGGTTAGGTTAGAAGACCTGATGTGGCTGACTTTCACATTCTAAAGGTAAGGGTGAAATCCAGAATCATAATTCATTAATATTACAGTTGTTTTCTGAGTTATTTTCTATGCTTCTTTAGTTGAAGCATAGACATTTGCAAAGCAGCCTAGCTATGCTATTTAACCTTCATTTTCCAAATATTTAACATTTCTGACAAACATAGAACTAAAACATGCCACTCAACATTGTTCATCACTCACCCTTGTAAGCTCAGAGTGGCTAACTTTAGCCTCTGGTTGATAATAGACTGATAAACCGATAACAGGTCATTATTTAAGACCGTAACATGTTCTATTGTAATAGTGCTTTCTTGGCCCATTTCAAAACACACCTAAAGTATTGTTTTCTGTGCAGAGCGTTTCAATAGTATTCTAATACTTTCAGACAAAAGCTTGACCTGACACCTGAAATGTTTAATAAAGCCCTACGATGTTTAAGGATCTGGGTGATGCTTTTGCAATAGTCAAAATATTCCACAGAATTGTTCTTTGAAATCACCTTGAGTCAATAATTTGTTTCCTTAATGCACTGGACCACATCATTGAAGCAGTGCTGTGGAGTCTGACATAAAAGAACCACTTGCCCTAAAACAGGAAAGCTCAGAAGAACCAGGTTACTTCCATCATGTGCTATGTTCGGCATTATGAGGGTACTAGCATCTCATTGTGAAGCTGTGTACTAGGATCTTAGTGTAAGCCACTGGTCAACAAGAGATGAAAGCAGTGTTACTGAAGCAGTCTGCAGAGTTCTCGAAACAATGTGTGAAGATGCTCCCTTTGAGTAGATGTTAACTGGGAAGATCACGTGAACATTTTTTTAAAAAGTACAAAGCATTTCAGATAGTGCAGTTTATTTGCAGCTAAATGTCTATTCTCTAAGATAAATTCTTTAGTCTCTTGAGAAACTGCACATCACTTACTGATGCCTTCCCAAGATTTGATATCCACTATTGAACTTGAACAGGTGTTTATCGTCATGGAAATCAGCTGGACTGTGTTCAAAGCCAGTAAATGTGCGTGAAGAAATATTAATTTCACTTTTCATGTGATAGCATTTTTTTTTTCAGTTCTTATCCAGTTTTGAACCTGCCCTTGGTTTGAAAGGCAATTTAAGGAAACAGAAGTCTATTGTAATTTCTATAAAGACCTGCTTCCGAAAGAGAATTCTGAAGTAGTCTAAGTAGCTGATGCATTGTGCATATGATGCTAAAACTATAAGTGGTTACTGTCTCATATTACAGAAATGTTTTGATATTGTCAGTGTAGAAACCTTTAGTTGTATAATTGCTGTAATTTTAAGTACAGCTGTTAATGTTTAGGTATGTAACTTTGAGCATATCACAATATAAACATTTTTAAAAATTGCCAAAATTTCTGTGTGAATGTGTAAGCTGATTAAAATATAAAAAGTAGTTTAAAAGGTTTGTGTTTTTGCATATTGTAAAAGCAGACTGTCACACTTTAATAGACTGTTTCTAATGGCTTAGATGCTAGTTCATGAGAGTTGACCTCTCCCCTGTGCCGTCTTGAGTTCTCAACAGGCTGTAAATTTGGTCAGTTCCTGTAATTTGTTTCCCTTTTCTGTGTAATGATTGCTTCAGCTTATGTTAAAGAGAAATGATAAAAAAAGTATTTGTCTTAACCTGCTGTTTGGAACAAAAAAAGGTTTTAATACTTCTGTTCATGTTGATTTGAATTAGAATAATTATAAATAAATTTTTTGTTTCTGTATCGTTTTAGAAACCCTTTTTTGTGGATTTGTATTGATACATGATGTCAAAAGGGTAATATTTTTCTCAAGTCACAAATAAAATCACAACTTTTGAAGTGTAGTTAGGAATTCTAAGAATACTGCAACAAACACAACCACTGGTTCAATATTTTAACCAAAGTCAATTTTTACTCATATGAATACGAGTTCTCCTTGTCTCATCTCTGCATTTCATTCGTCCTTCTGTGGTCCCAGGTTTATCCTGATCAACTTGAGTAAAACCACAATCAGCCACATCCAGTTGGATAGATATGAACACATGAATAAAATTTCACTTCTTGGTTTCAATTTTATTATGATTACACTAGGGGAATCAGCTGTACATTATGAAACCGACATGTATGTTTTTCAATAATGACGTTTGGACTGTATGGGCCCCTGCTCTTTACTGGGCTCACGTAGGGCGTTCTCGTGGGCGGGTGACGTACTCCCACCACAAAGGTGGAAGGTCGCCCTCTTTGCGAGCTGGGGGCAGCACCTCAGTCTTGGGACCATCTGCTGGGGTCTCCTCCTGCAACTGTTGGATCTGTAAAAGTAGAAATAAAAGCCATGGTTATGATCCCTAGACAGTAGTTCTACAAAACCAATGTTATATACTATATGAACATGATCTGAAATGCTGCAGAACTATCACATGGTGCCATTTTTGAGAAGCTAAGGGGTCTTGGCTTGGAGATCGTGAACTCAATGTTCATGCTCGGATAGAGAGGACATGCTGTACAGATAAACATCAGAGAGGAAGGCAAACGGTTAATTTAAATCCATTTTTTAATACTAGATACCCATTCTCTCTTTAGAAGACCTGTCCCACAGACATTTCCCCCTAGGTACAAAAGGTTGAATTTAGTGGTTTTCCTTTACTGACGTATTCCTTCATCAGAAAATGGAACAAAAAATGAAAAAGTCTAAAGAATGACACAATCTAACCAAAATCCAACTAAAGATAACCAGAAGCAAGACTGCATAACCCACCTACTCACAGATAATTAATCTAATCAGGTAGGAAATTTAAGACAAAGATAATTCAAATTAAAATATTACAGTGCTTAATAATGTAATACTGTACTTACAAATCCTAAAATAATGCACTATTAATCTCTGTCATTAATGAAGATAGGAAAGAAGTAATTTATAATCTACCAGGTTAAACAGGTACAAGTTTAAACCTGTAAATATGAGTATGCCTTTGAGAAAAAGGGTCAATTTAAAAGTCTGTCCTTAGAAGTGTTTATTTGGATGCATTTAAAGAAACTGGGAACAGCTGCTTTCAACCAAATTGAACTCGGTAATCCACAATAGTGGTTGCACTCTCATGTCAACTTTATTTTTCCCAAAAGTGTATTATACCCTCAAAAGTACATTTCAAAGGTGGATAATGTCTGGAAAACAAATGCGGACATGCAAATTATATTAAAATATAGAAGGAAAAATTAGAACAACCAGGAAACATAGAAATCACAAGCTATTCACACAATATATATAAAAAAGAGTGACAGATTCTTATTTTATAGGGTTTTACACAAGAGAAAGAAAAGAAGTTAGGTTAGGAATGTTCAATTACTCTCCAAGAGGGAAGCCAGGATAAAAAATAGCAAAATAATTAAAGTAACAAAGTGCGGAAAAGGAATCCATGCTGCAGTCTGCCCCTCACTCATGTCTTTAGCCCTCTCCGCTGTCAGTTGTGTCAAATTTAAACGTGATTAGGGGTTCACAAGAAAGCAAGCTAGCCAATAGGAGCTGTGGTTTGTGCAGGTTCAAGTCGAGTGGACACAATCCTACACTCAATTCAATAGGCTGATCCAGAACACTTCCAAATTGTTTGCCATAAACGTATTTTACAGCAGCAAGACCCAGATGTTTTTCTTCTGTTAATTTTATTTTTGGAGGGCTTTAATCACGTATAGACTGATGGTGCCAACCCTCCTTGGTGAACCCCTTAACATATGTTTCTACTGTCTCCATGGTTGATATTGACTGCAAGTCTATCCACAGCCTTTAGGATACGTTCTACAATCTCATGATGATGGGCTGAAAGCCAGGCTGTGCCAGGAATGTAAAACCAGATGGGGATCCTTGGCTGGCTACAGATAAGAGACTTTTATGAGTGACCTTGAGTTTACATTGCTTTGAGATAACAGCGCAAAGTTGTCCATACCTTTGAATTTCACTTAGAATTCTCTTTTTCTGCTGCACTCAATGGCAAGTGGCCTAATACTACACAATGTCAAAGGCCTCCCAGTTGCCCCAACCTTCCTCCGGCTAGAGACTCTATGGGAAGTGACATAGACTGAATACAAACGAGATATTCTAATAGGAGGCAAGAGGAGGAAAAAATTAACCGTTAAATATTTTTTATGATATAGAAGAGCATACCTCTCTCTCCCAGCTTTGGATTCTGAGTTTCTTCCACATTTCCCTCTTGGCAAAGTAGTCTGGGTACATAGCTTTCTCCGAGGGATGCCAGTAATCCAGACACCACTCAGGTACCTAACCAGAGGGAAATATGCACTCTTTAATCCAGACATTGCAGTAAGGTAAGAAAGGCAATTTTCCTGGTGCTTTTTATGCATAAAGTAAATAAATGAAATGCCTCTCTTGAGTACAGTAGTATTGAAATCCACAGATCTCATACTCTCACAATAAACAGATATAATAGAAAATTCATCTAGACAAACTTTACAATTACAGTATAACAAAGTCACACATGTATAATCTGAGAACCGTTAAGAAATCAACTTTTTTTAATATCATACAGTTATGTAAATGTGCTTGTATATAAAGTAACAGCACAATGATTACTATAATCCCAAATCTTACACAAGTAAAAGCCAATTTAAGATGAAGTTAGTTAGGTTTAAGGTTTTTACGGCCAGAGCTCAGAGATTTCAATTTTATTTGTCATATGCACAAGTGCAATGAAATGCTTATTTGCATGTATGCCTCAATACAAAAACATTAAGGAAACACCAACTTTCACACAGAACAACAGCAGCAATAACAAAAAAGTTAAATAATGCTCAACTTAAATAAAACTCAGCCCAAGCAGTGTGCAAAAAAACATCAGGGTGAGACAGTGTAAAGGGAGAATTCAATCATCTGACAGCTCGTGGGAAGTCAAGTGTTCACAGCCACCTACCTTGTAGCGTTCATATCGCTCATAGGAGGTTCCCCCAGGAGAGTCAGGGAAGATATAGGGCTGGGGGTGCTGCTTTTCCCAAAACTCCTCCTCACCAGCCTTCAGCAGCAGCGTAGCTTTCACCATATCTTTCTCATTCTTGTGCTGGTCAAAGCGGGCTCTCAGCAAGCATGCGTGGAATCGGTATATATCCCTGGAAATCACATAGAAAGCAACCATTTGCAATGGAATTTGCAACGCATTCACCCAAATGTTCTTATAGTTGTTGCTTGTGCCCTTATGAATATTTTTAACTTACGATCCTTGTTCATTAAGCAGGATTTCTATTAATATACAATCATCATCTCATCAACTGGGTTTTTAGTAGAGGAAACCGCTCTGTAACACTCCGTAACACCAACAACAGAAATACTGAATGCTTTGAAACAAAACCGTAACAGCTCATCCCTTTTTTTTTGTTTGGAATTTTTTTAGCTTGTTCAATTAGATGTCTGTTTCAAACTTTAAAAAAATCTTAAATGTCTAATATTGACAGACAAAAAAGATAAATATGGCACACGGGAGTACCTGGATGGGAGACCGCTGGAAGAGGTGTTAGTGGGGCCAGCAGGGGGCGCTCACCCTGCGGCTCATGTGGGTCCTAATGCCCCAGTGTAGTGACGGGGATACTATACTGTAAACAGGTGCCGTCCTTCGGATGAGACGTAAAACCGAGGTCCTGACTCTGTGGTCATTAAAAATCCT